ATATAAGTGACAAAATAAAACTTAGAATTTTTATTTGTGTGTTCACCATGGATGATAATATTATCAGGCGTAAATCATTTTTCTTTTAAGATTGTCCAGGTTCTCTAGAAAACTGTTAATTCCCTGGTTCTTTACTGGGCACTTATTCTTCTTAAGAAGCCCAGACTCAGAGACAATTTTAGCTATTCTTGTAGATAATTTGTGTTAGAGAAAGGAGAAGGTTAACTATGTACACTGATGTCTTGCTCTGTGTTCTGAAATTGTTTACTTAAAAGTACCTGAGGAGTTTTGAGCCAAGCAGTGACATCTTCTAACCTTAGTACAGGGAAGCCTTATAAATACAATGAAAGATAATTGAAGGTTTTTAAAAAGCTATGCTGTGAGTGATTGGTTTGCCAATAGAATGAAGGAGAATTCCTGTCGGTTAACCTAGATTTGAAACAGGACAGTACAAGGAAGGGTGTCAGCTAGAAAGGAAGAGACCAAAGGAACGCAGGAAGATAAGACTAAGAAGCACCATGTAAAAGATGTGCACACATACTCGACAAGTGGCAAGAATTGGACCTTTGGCCAATGGGCCACTGACTGACCAGCTGGCTTAGGAGACTAGCTATGGACCTAATGGGGAGGGAGCAGAAATGCCATTTAGAGCAGCCCCCAAATCTGGATATACTCATTGTATGGCAAATGAACACTGTGCTGAAGCAGCTATTTTCTAGCATGGTGCAATTGTGCTGGCAAAAACGAGTAGAGAAGATAATACATTGTAAGACAGTCTCTCATAGTAAATGGTCAACATTTAAAATCCATCAGAACCCTGTTTCCTGGTCGTGACAGATAATAGAATTCTTCTTGTTAGACCATGTCTCGCCTCTTGGTGAGTTCTCTGAACCTCCTTCCAACAGGACTGGAGTTTGTCATGACAACAGTGACTTCATAGGAGATGTAGTTACAAGAAAAACACTGTTCCCTGCCATCATTGCCAAATCTTCTCCCTATATTATTCTATGGAATGCTAAGATCCTTTACAGGAGGTGAAAACACACCCTCCATAAAACTGTGTTCAGTGGAACTTTTTAGAAATTGTCTTTATTTTCATTCACCTATATACACCAACTTTATTTCAAAGTGCATGTCCTTTTCTAGCTAAAGCATCTTTGAGTACCTTTTGAGTGACTATCCTGCATGAAACATGTTCTTGGGAATCTTGTGCTTGATTTGTAAGGTTGCAAATTCATTTTCAAGAGAAATTGGAACTGAAAGTGTAGTCATAAAGCAACTCTGTTACTCAAAAATTATTCTTGGTTGAACCAGAGGAGGGGGGCTCCCTTCTCTTTTTCACTATCTACAGTAGCTTCTTTGGAGGAAATTGCTGTACCCTTGTTCTACCAACCAATATTCCAGGGGGGAATGCATTTGCCATTTGCTTACAGGAAAAGGCCACTGTCACTGTATCTTCTGTTTCTTCATTTCCAACATTTTCCATCATTTGGAAAGGAGCCTTATAAAATCCCAGCCCAACTGTACTAGGGGAAGGTATAGAGGTAGTTAGGGTGGGATTTCTGCAAGAGTGGAATCAGAAGCGAGATCACATGCTTCCCAGGTCCAGGTATTTCTCAGACATCGTGCTTACTAGGCCTGGGACAACAGTTAAACCTGCCCAGGGGAAGTTGAAGCGAGGAGGGAACCATGAACATGGGAGGTGGAAGGCCTAGACTGATGGTTGATTTGCCTCTATCATTTTGGGCTTCCGTTGTAACATGAGGACTGCCTTTGATCACTCTATGGGTCACTCCTGGCTCTTGGTTTTGTTTTCTTAGGGATGTGTTATGATTAAAAGAGAAAAGACCAACTCCCAAGGGCCTGAAGGAAGGCTGTGGTGGGACCACTAGGATGTTTCTGCTCCTGAATTGAGAGTGGGTGGGGTGCTAGGAGGCCTCTCTGTGGTTTAATGAATTCACCTTCAATACTATGCTGAGATTTTGCACTCACTGGTGTTACTTTGAATTTTAAGCCAGAATCATCATACCTGTGCTCAGTAGTAATAACTGAAAATATCCTGAGAATATGAACTATCAATTCATATGTGCCTCTCTCTCCAATTCCCCCACCCAGTAAAATTATAATTCTTTACTGGGGGAAATTCCCTGTGATTGCTTTCTACTTTCTGCTTATAAATGCACGGTTATTAAAGAAACACCAGAGGTAAGAACTGCTCACCTACAAATGAAATTTTTTTGGTGCTTATCTAAATTCCTGCCGAAGGAAACCTTTTATCTTTTTTGTCACTGATGAATTTTCTTAGGGATCTCTGCGTTATTCTTCCATTGTCTCTTTTCATCTGCTTTAGAGATGCCAGGTGACAGTGGTGTCCAACCCATCCAGCTGCGTCTTGCTTGACAAGCAAGAGTCCCAGTAGCCTCCCAGAGCTAGCGGGACTTCTGGCCTGCTTTTTGGGACCATCACCTGTTCTGGTCCCTGCCATTAAGTTCAAAACCAACTCTTCATCATTGTCACACTTTTTCTGTGGCCGCTATTGATCCCGTGACTTCACTGTAACTACATAGAACCTGCTTATTTTCCTTTCAAAAATGAATTGAATAAAACATAGAGGCTGTTAAAGTTGCTGGTGCTTCTTAACCATGAATAAAACACAAAAATAAGTGTTCAACAGTGGATTGTATTTCAGGAGCTAAGATTCAGTGGTCACAAGGCTGAATAGTTTCAACAACTGAGAGGTTGTTAACAATCCTTTGCAAAGCCAGTGGTTGGTTTGCAGTCATTAGTTGACATTATCCTATATTTCAGTTACATCACCTTGTGAGATCATAATGTTCTTCACATCCGACTCTTAACTTTTCCTTTTTCTCTTTCTCTTGAAGTCAAATATTATCATAATTAATATTGAAAAAGGGATTTTTTTTAACTTGGAATCAATGAGACATTTTGGCATTTTTCTTCATTTTCTTTGGAAGATGTTTATTTTTCTTTTAGGCTGCAAGGGAAGAAACCTGCTGTGGAAAACGATAGACCTCAGCTGTCAGGAGCATTTGTCTGGTACTATTTTGAAGGCATACCCATGTTATGGCCAAAGGAGTGTCACAGGAACTAAGTGAGAAACACAGGGAACGTCCTCCTTCCTTTTGTGACAAACAGCATGGGATTCCAAGAATGAGGTCATTGTAAAGAAAAGACTCCAAAGAAATTCTTTGACATATTATGTGTGTAGGGTATGGATGGCACATATGGCCTTGTAACTTTAGGGTCCTTTGATGCTTTAACAAAGGGTATTATCGTTGCATTAAAAATGCTGCCTGCACTGACAGTATGTACCTTCAAACAGTGGAGTCCTGAACTGGTGCAGAGGTCTTAAAACCAAGCAAATACCTCCTCCACTATTTCTTCATGCAATCAGGAGGGAATTCCATGCACAGTGCTGTCCTTGGATTTCAACATGAAAGCTGAATCTGGGATAAAGTGATGTTCCTTACAGAAGGATTTTTCTATAGCATGAAGTAACTAACAAAGAGTTTCAAAAAAGTCATGTTTTATAAACATTCTTGCTTGTGGTTAGTGTGGGACCTAGATTCTTCAGAGAGTAATATCTTTCCTTTTGGTTTTATGACCATCTTTTTCTTAATACTTAGAAAGAAAAGAGCTTTGCCAAACGTATTTTTTTTTTTTTCTGGCATTAGTGTCTTTTGGACATGAAAATGGAAATGACCCAGTTTCTCTTACTAATGTCTTCAGATATTTATATGTAGCTTAATAGTTCCATCCTGAAAAAACAAAGCACCTTTTCACATGTTTTTAGAGGTTAGAGATGAAAATGTGCCAAGTAGAACTACATATAAACGTGTGTGCATGTACTCCTATAGAGATAGACAAGCTAGACAAGGAGCTACAGTTCATTTCCATCACTGATTCAATCTAAATAGAAAACTAAGCGTTTCATACTTTTGTGAACTACAGATAATAATTGGACAAATCTGTAGATGGTAATGTCGAATGACAGTGTGTCACATTGTCAATTATTTTGCCCTGAAATAGCTATGTCGTGAGTCTACTGAAACAATTAGATACTTCTAGGCAACACAAAGATACCTAAAGGAAAAGGGAGGTTGTGTTTGGAGAGGGAGCCAATGAATGCAACTGGTTGAATCCAGTTTGTGATGCAGCATTTATTCACTCCTTGGCACAATTCTACTACTTCCCTTAAATGAGAAGAAATGTCAAAAACTTTTATTTGTCCAACACTTTTCTTTTCTGAGAACAAGTATTACATGCTCTATTTTACAAAAAGTATGTGGTCTCAGTCTCTAATTAAACTATTATCCTGGGGGTTATCTCTTTGCCCTGCCTTCCGAGTGAGCATCCGTGAACAAAAGGCATAGTAAATGAGAACAGGTCTCATAAACTAAAGCCATGTCAGTGAAATTAAAAAAAAAAAAAAGAGTTGGCCTTTATTCTATCTCACTGTCAAGTCCAAGAAGGGATAGTGGATGGGCAACAATGTCTGAGATTTTAAAAACTACCAAACAAAAGACCCAGTCTTTTCTATACAAAGCTCTCCAAAAGTATCAAGAAACAAAGGAATGCCAATATAATCCAAGTTAAAGTGTGATTTTTAACAAGGTTGTTTCATCACAACTGATGGCCATTCTTCGGGTAATGTTTGTCAAAGCCACTTTGGATTTTGTCTGACTTGTTGATAGGAAAGTAGTTTGTCTTTATGTACATGGAAAATGAACATGAAAAATGACTATTGTTGCTGTCTGACTGCTCTGTTCAGTTTCTGAATTCTAAGGCAAAGGAGACCTCAGATTTCACTTTTGTAGCTGTAGTAACGGTAAATGACAAAAATGTCTGAATTTATCTAAAACCACCCATATCAGAAAAGAACAAGATTAAGCAGTTGTTTGGAAAACTTTGTGATATTTCTATTTCCATGACTTAATGACTTTCCTGCAAGTAGTTTTAAAATTATGATCCTCAACTTACCTTTAACAGGATGGATGCTCTTCTGTCTCATGAATCCAGATAAAAATTATAGTTTATTCAGTGGTATTTGCCATTGTCAGAAACCATGTAGCTGAAAAGTCCTTCTTGAAATGGATCTGTTTAGAAAACAAATGTGTTTAAAATAAGTGAAAAATAAGATATTGCATCACACAGAACTATTTAGTTTACAGCAAGTGGAATATTGTACTATAGGTGGCATGAGAGTATATATGTATGTGTGTGTGTGTATATACTGGAGTTACTTTGAATTTAAAGTATACACACACACACACACACACACACACACCTGTGGTTTGGGGCTCAATAGTCTGGAAATAGTCTTGTCAAACAAATTTCTGCCAACAAGCATCCAAACCCAACTCTGCAGCCTTGCTAAATGATTTTGCCCACAGACTGATCGTGAATCTCCTTTGGGAAAGTAGAAAATACACACACACACACACACACACACACACACTCATTTCTGAATTTCTAAATGAATGTCGATTTGGGAACCACAATGATTTCTTTTTGGTTGGATCAAGTTAATACATTAGAGAAAGTGAACCGGCCACAGATAATTTACAATGACTGATCTAAATCTGGAAAGAACTGTGAGAGTCACTCTTCCCAGCTTTGGTCTCAGGTAGCTGAAATACTATTTATCCAACTTTACAAATAAGGTGACTGTGACTCAGAGAGGTTAGATGGCTCTCCCACTGTCATATAACTAATGTATGGCAAATAGGGCATTCAAACCTAGGCCATTTCTCCCCCCTTCCTAGGCATGTCTGTTAGTTTATTATTTAATATATGGAGATGTCATGACATTTCTTTAGTGTTTGCAGGAGTTAAAACGCCATACTAGGTACAAGGAGGCTGAGACTGCCAACAATAAGCCTTTGTTGAATATGACTGATTACCTACTTCAGACATTTTACTCATGCTATTTCTTTTTTTTTTTTAAAGATGTATTTTATTTATTTGAACAAGTTACAGAGAGGGGAAAGAGAGACAGAGAGAGAGATCCTCCATCCTCTGGTTCACTCTGCACATGGTCACAATGGCCAGGGCTGGGTCAGGCCAAAGTCAGGAGCTTCATCTGGGTCTCCCATGTTGATGCAGGGACCCAAGTACTTGGGCCATCTTCTGCTTTTCCCAGGCTATTACATGCTATTTCTTTTAATAACCACAAAAACTCTTTTAAATGTTATTCTGGGAGTGGGTATTTAGCCTGGCAGTTGGGGCACCTATGAACCATATTAGAGTACTTAAGTTCAGTTCCTGGCTTTGGCTCCAGACTCCAGCTTCCTGCTAATGCAGACCCTGGGATGTACTGGTAATGCTTCAAGTGATTGGTTCCTGTCACCCATAAGAGACTGGCCCAGTCCCAGCCATTGTAGGCATTTAAGGAGTGAACCAACCAATGGGAGCTCTCTCTTTATGTCTGTCTGTCTGTCTCTGTATGTTTCTGCCTTTCATATACATAAGTTGTTTTTAAAAGTATTATTCTTTATTTTTAATAGATGAATGAAAAATTTAGGGCTCAGGCCCTGAATTAATTGCCTAAAGTCAGTGGTTAGGATACTGACAACTGGGATTAAAAGCCAGCCTGATGTCCAGAACTTCTTTTTTTCATTTCTGAAGTCTTTATGGGAAGGGAGAGTTAAAAATAGGGTTGTGGTTGTTAATTCAAAGTTTCTACTGTCTGATTAAAGAAAGACCCTTAAGAACACATCATCTAAGAAAAATCAAAACATCGAGACTCTTGGTTTTGGGAATCCTGGTTCTTAGAGAGAACTCTTATTCCTTGCTCTGTTGTTTTACTTGTTAGGGGTTTTCCTTTATTGCATATTAATTGCTAGTCCCTGCAGTATGAGAAATTTAAGGAGCAGGAAAGACTGTCTGGCTCAGTGGGACTGGGTTGCTATTTAGTCTGGCTGTTTCCTACGTCGCACGTCGATTGATTATCCTGCCTATCATGTGTTGACATATTTTGCTTGCTGTGCTGATTATACATTGGGAGTGCTAATTCTTTTATTGGGTTAGAGTTCAAAGGTGCTCATCTGTCAGCAAAAAGTCTCTCATTTCATGGCATGCTTGGCCTCCTCTTATATCTGTCATTTTTTTTTTACTGTTCTCAGAGGCTTTCCTCTTATTTCTGGTCCTAGTTCAATAGCAAAGATCTTGAAGGATTTTCCTTTGTAGTAGGCTATTTTGTATGGTTTTTGGAGACAGATTCTGCTCTTTGAAGATATGCAGAATATTGGCATTTCACAGACTCTGAGTGAAGCAATGAAAATCACACTATATCCCCTCTTTGATTTTAACAACTCTGATAGTACAGATTTCCAAATCTTGGAATTTTCCCAAACAGGGTCAATTTCTGAGACCAGTAAATGGATGGACTCAAACTTGGATTTTGTATGTCAGTGTCATAGCATCCTGGCCAACTGTCAGAAGATGGAGTCCTGTGAAGAAGAGATTGAGGAATGGTGATTCTTTTACATCTCCTGATACGCAAATGTCTTTGTCAGCACTTCTGTAGGCATAGATATTCAAATTTTCCATGTTGATAGATGGAAGATATCTCTTTCCTATCCCAATTACAAACTGGAATCATAAGTGAAAATATCCTCAAAAATCCCGATTTTTAACTACATATGATGAAGTATTTTGCAATTAATTTGAAGTATTTGAGATACAAATAACATGACCTTGAGAAGACTGCCAACATGTCTAGAATACATTTTGTTGTATTTTTTAATGTCACATTCTATTTTTTTATGTATCACATTCATAATTTGATTATAGTAATAAAAGCAAGTGCTATGGTAACAATAGATTACAAAAATCATCTTTGTGAATTAGGAAGATAATCAACGATGATTAAATGCTTAGAATGCTTCAACAAGTTTGTTTTCAATTTTTGCATAAGATGTATATAAAGTTCAGAGGATCTCTGTGAGACTTCAGTAGAAAGAAAGGGTCATCAAAGAAGGATGTACTTTTCTCTGAAGGGAGGAGAGAACATCCACTTTGCTTATGGTTGTGTCTAAATACAAATGGAGTCTATGGTCACAAAAGGCTTCCATAGCCTTGGCAACCCATGGCAAGAGTCTTGGGTGATCACTGACATCATAAATAAGAGAGTTAATTGTTAAAGGGACAACGGAAGTCACTGTGAACTTACTCCACATGTAGGACCTCAGTCCTTAATGAGTTGTATTAGGAGAATCGACTGCAAATCTTGTTCTCAAACTGTATGCTATATTTTATGTGTGTGCGTGGGTGCAAACTATTGAAATCTATACTTAACATTGAGTTGGTCCTCTGTATATAAAATCAAACTAAAAATGAACTATAATGAAGAAGGAGAGGGAGAGGGAGGTAGGATGGGAGTTGGAATGGGAGGGTGGATATGGGGGAAAGAACCACTATATTCCTAAAGTTGTGTCTATGAAAAAATGCATTCATTAAATAAAAACTTTAAAAAAAAAGATGTATGTAAAGTGAGCTGAGAAGTAGCTGGAGTTGACCTACCAGGGGCCAGTAGTCTGTTGGAAAAGAAAGGAACATGTGAGCTATTGCAAAATTTTCATGAGTTTATTTGTCTTTTGATAGTTTGGGTTCTGTAAATGGTAGGAGGTGAAGGAACTATTAGAATAACCTTGAAATAGAATGATATGAGAACATTCTGTCTGGGCCCAACAGACTGGATTTACTGGGGGTAAGAAACAGACTCTCTTTTCTTCCTGTCAAATGGGGCTATTCCCTATTTACATAGTAAGTTTGGGGAAATTAAATAAAATAGTGATGTAACATGTACATAATGGTGTCATACTGGCACATAGTGCATAGTCAGTGAATGTTAAAACTTTATTGCTCTGGGGCCAGCATTGTGTCATAGTGGGTGAAGCTGCTGCCTGTGATGCCATCATCCTATGTGGGCACTGGTTCATGTTCCAGCTGCTCTACTTCCCATCCAGTTCACTGCTAATGCTCATGGGAAAGCAGTGGAAGATGGCCCAGGTGCTTGGGCCCCTGCACCCATGTGGGAGACCTGGATGAAGCTCCAGGCTCCTGGCTTTACACTGGCCTAACCCTGGCCTTTGCAACCATTTGGGGGGTAAACCAGCAGCTGGAAAATCTCTTTCTGTCTATCTGTCTGTCTCTCTCTGACTTTTAAATATATGAAATCTTTAACAACAACAAAAACTTTGTTGCTCTCAATGATCTCATTGTTCCTTTGCAAACCAACCTCATAACATGATCTAAAAGTGCTGTCTTTATTAGTCTTCCATGTTTTTTCTTGAGTTTATTTGCAACACTTATTATAGTACAAAGCAAACTAGATAGTGTGGATATTTCTAGGAATTTTTTTTGACAACCACATAGAAATTGATGGATTCACCAAATATGAGCTGGAAGGGCCCCTGCAGGCTTTCTGCATTCAGTAATTTTACAGATGAGGAACTAGATTCCCAGAGAGATGAAAAGACTTGTTCAGAATTTCCCAGGTAATTAATGGCAGTGCCAGGAAGAAGATGTAGTTTTCCAGGAACCATATCTATTGTTCTTATTTATCTACCTTTCTGGCTTAGGACACAGAGATTATGATTGTGTATTTTGAGAGTTGTATGTCACAATGAATGATTTAAAAATAAAGGAAAGAGTTTATTAGGGGAAATCTGACAGACTGGAGAGAAGGAGCAAAGAAGGAAAAAGGAGAGAAGGAGAGCATAAGAAAGAGATCCAGAGAGAGAGAGAGAGAGATTAGGAGACAGAAAGAGAGCCACGTGTTTAGGAGCAGGTCCTTTTAAAATTTTGCTGGGGGTGGGCAGGGAGGTAGGAGCAGCGAATCCCATTAGGATGGGGGTGGGACTGACACCGGTGGTTGGGCCACGTGGCTACCTGGCTTCCAGCAATGGCGGCAGGGAATATTATAGTCTTTAAAGATGTGTGGCTAATTGGAAAAATGAAATCTAAGTGTATCCGGGAGGTTAAATTAATGGGTAAACAAGTTTGCAGTGTAGAAGTTTGTGTGGCAGTGCCAAACCACAGCTAGGGAATTCTTCCCAAACTAATCCATAATCTTCACCACTCTACACACTCC